GAAAAATGGGGAAAATGTTCTCCATAATAAAAAAAAAAATCTGAAATAAGGTATAAAATAATGTGTTGAATTAGGGACAAGGCATAAGCGCAAGCTCCTCTCTATCACCTTTGCCCTGTTTTCTCTGTGAACCCTTAACCTGAACACAAGAATATCATAAAGGTTAAGATCATAAACTCTCCCATCAGACAATCTTGAACTGAGGTTCAGCTTTGAATATCTACCTAACCATTGTAAATCTTAAAGTACTCATCTATGAAAAGAAAATACCTCCTCTCATATAACAACACCCTTGCCTTATTAATTGTGCCTCAAAGATTAAAGTAAATACGAATGTAACCTCAAATTGCAGCATGCGTCTTTTATGTCTTATGTAGCAAATGCAATTCCATCATGTTAACATCTAAATATATATGGCTAATGGAAAAGCAATGACAGCGAAATGCAAAATGACTTTTCCAACAACCCAATAATTAAAAAAGTAATATGATCTGCTTGTAAGTGAATTGTCCTCCCCAACACTTCCATGAGTTGAATGAAGATCTAACGCCCAATATGATGGTATTTGGAGAAGGCATTTTGAGATATAATTAGTTTGTATGGGGTCATGAAGGGGGAGGCCCTGATGGTGGGTTAGTGCCATCCGAGGACGTAGGAAGGCAGCTATCTGAAAACCGGGAAATGAGCTCTTACCACAATCCCAACAAGCTGACTGCTCTTGGAGTTCCAGCCTCCAGAACTGTAAACAGATATCTTTTGTTTAAGCCACCTACCCAGTATAAGGTATTTTTTAGGACAGTCAATCTTTGAAATTATGAAAGGTCTGGTATCAATAAATCATTGGATTTATGATAGGCAAGGGAAAGCTAAAGTATAAAACCATCTCAAACATGAAAAAGAAGGAAATTTTAAATGCTGTTGCTTGAAATAAATATTAAAGGTCCAAAATAAATTTCAAGGTCTAAAATGAAGCCATTCCTGCCCAGGGTGTCAGAGCAGTTAACTGAACTTTAAGATAATTGTCATGTCCTTATATATGTTCCACTTGACCAGAAAAACTATCACCCATGGACAGTCCTGAAACACCAACACAGCTCTGGAATTTTATCTTCTTTCTCACCCCAAAGGAGGTTGACTATGTGAAGCCAGTCAACCCAATATTTCCTATTTTTCTCCTCATTCCTTATTATTTTTCCTATAAAAATGATTTGAATATTGCACCATTTTTCAGTTCACCAAATACTGTTCACTTCAAAGTATAAGATTGTTTTATAATGTCGATTTGTCTTATTTAATAATTTCTAAAAGGTAAATTGAATGATAAAAGAGAAAAATAAGGAATTAGAAGAAAACAAATTATTCATAGTGGCCTCCAACACTCTAGACCTTTGACCTTTGCCTTTTTCCTCACCTCAGGTGAGCTTAATTTTCTCTTCTCACCCAGCTCTCTGCCCAGGAAACTACCTTACTTTCACTGTATTCCCCTAGAATCTCCCTGTGTTTCACAGATGTATAGTCTCAGTGAGATGTCAGATTATCTGATTGTTTCTCAAGATTATTCTTGAAAGGTTACCATAAATTAGCTGCCCTTCATCAAAGCTCAGTACTCCTCTAAAGGTGGTAATCACTTTCCCCTCTCTCTTTTTCTCTTTTGCATTCTGGATTGAATTCCTTTCATTCTGCACTTAAAGAAAACAACTTTTCACATGGTCCTGTCCTGATGTGACTTTAATCAATACACACACACTTAATCATGCAGTATCCTCGGGTTAAAATATCCTTACACCCTTCCGTCTCTCTGGTGAACATCTAAACATGTTATGAGGCATGCTTGAATGCGCTATCCCTCTGTTATTTCCCCTGTTGCCATAACAGGATGAATAAATTGTTCACTAATGGATTGTTGCAGTAGCATTTTATTTTAAAGCACCCCCCACACACACACATGTGAAAATTGAGTACATGCATGACCAGATTAAGGACAGTGCCTGACATACACAATTGTGTTACCACTTCAGAAGTTTATAAATGCACTATTATCATTAAAGATGTATAATTTAAAATAGAGAACAAAATTACCTTTACATAAATTAGTTTGGTTTTGTATCCAAAGGAAAATGTTCTAAAGATGTACGTAATACATTTCATTATCCTTCAGGAACACAGCACCTGGTTTTTTTTCTTTCAACTTTATAGTTTGGAATGCTTAGTTCACAATATTAAAAGGTTAAAAATATTTTCTGTTTGGCAAAAATCACTTAATATTAAAAAAAAAACAGACATTTACATGATCACATAAACAGCTAGGTATCTTCTTCCAAAGCATTCGATTCAAAGGCCAGGTGTTTTGCTGAGTAAACAAAGCTATTATTTTGATGACAGGTAATAGTTATTTTATGTTAATGGTTACCAGATAATTCATAAGAGAAACATCCCTAAGAAGTTACAAAGGTCAATCCCTTGTGGACTGAAATAAATTTTCAAGTTCAATTTAAAATGAGATTTTTAATTACCATGATAGACTACCTAGGGACAACTTCAGATTGAAAGGCCAAAAACCTCAAGTCAGTTGATTTTTTTCATATAGGATTTAAACCTTCCCCCAAAGAAAATCTGGCATGCCATTCCTCACAAATGAAAAACTAATTATATCACCATATTAACATTATAAAGCATATAAATATTTCCTTAACTTTTGAAATCAAAATCAACTTTTCAGAAAATAATAGTAAAGAAAGTCATGCAATAGTTGACTTGATACTTTTTTTTTAAAGATTTATTTATTTATGCATACAAATCTCGGGTACAGGCCGGAGGTGCAGGGGCGGTGAGAGGATACACCAGTGACAGAGTGGGAAACAGAACAGGTGACTGATTAAGTACACTGCTGAGGGGAGCAGCAGGCAGTTGGGAGAGATCTACAGATCCGGAGAGGTCTACAGTGCTATGTGAATCGCCTGTGTATTGGGGGATTGAATTCATGCTGAAATGGCTTTAGCTTTTTAGTGCTGTGCTTTGACCTGATGCACCACCAGCAAGAGACCGACTTGATACTTTTTAAAGATTTAAATTGTTGCTAAAAAATACTTTTAAAGGTAAGTAAAAATGTAGAAGTCACATTTTTTACTATTATTTTATATCCTCCAGATAGTTCTTTTAAAGCATAGTACATAGCACTATGTATTACTGTACTTTTTTTGATAGTGTGCAGCACAGTAGAGAACTCTCCCTGGTCTTTTAGACTTGCTGTAACAAAATTCCAAGACTGCATGCTTACTAAAAACAGAAATCTATTCCTTAAGGACTAGAGAGGTGGAGAGTCTGAGACAGAAGTGCCAACATGGTTAGGTGAGGGTTCATTTCCAGGTGACAGATTTCTTGTAGCTTTTACAGGGGCTCAGGGGCCAGGAATCACTGCAGAATGTCTTGTATTAAGGGAACTAAACCCAGTCAGAAATTCTAACTGTATGACTTAAGCATTGCCCAAATCCCACCTACTGGGTACAATTAAGTCAAGATTACCTCATGAAGGGTGAGGTGGAAGGGCACAAATGTTCACAATTTAGCAGATGATTTGGAATTCAGATGGGTGAGATAAATGCCCACCATTGTTATTTCCAATATATATCCCTAAGCATGCATTCCTAACAATGTATGTATGTATGTGTATATAGTACATGTATATATGTACATATAAAAATCAAAGTTAATTCACTCCCCATGTAATGTAATAAAGTCAGTAAGGTATTAGCACTCATAAAACTTTCTGATTTAATGAGGGTGAAAAAAATTTTAAATATAGTAAATTTAGTTTTCCTAAAAACAACTTATCATTCAATAAATATTTCTTGATTGCCTATTCTGTGCCAGGCAATGTTCAACAAAAGCCCCTATGCTCATGTGAAGCTTATGCTGATTTGAAAAAAAGGATTATTCATATGGAATTCAAATATTTCTTATTGTATACCTTAGCTACTTTTTCTCCTTTTCACCTTGGCTGCCATTCTACAGTAAAGAGTCTTTTTACTCCAGACAACATTGTCTTTTGGTAAATATGTATTATGTGTGGTTCTATTTCAGCAATTTTCAGACACACTTATAATTTCAATATTTGTAAGAAAAACAAAAAAACCTCAAAACATACGATTCTTTTAAAAGAAGTTTTAAGTCTTAGTAACATATAGCAAATGTGAATGCAAATAATTATGCAGTCACAGAATTATCATGACAAACTCTGAAGGCCACCCCATGTCTAAGAAAGGGAAAGAGACACAGGGACATGAAATGTTACATAACTGTAGGAGCATGAGCTAAACTAGGCAAACATTAGAAGATTTAGATAGTATCTTACATAATTAGGTACCATAAATCCAGACCCCAAACACTGGACATTCCTCAAGCCCCCCTAAGGAGTTTTGAGGGTGCCGAAGGTCAATCAAAAAGACAGGCCATGGGAAACGTGCCTTGTCTGCCTGTGATAGGCAGGTCCCTGGTGAGTCCAGGTCATCCCACCACAGGAAAACAGCTGAATAAGATCCCCATGACAAAGATCAGAAAGGGCAAGAACCAGGGAAAGCATGTCTCCAAAGTGTATAAGTCCCAACACACAATCACCCTCCCCCCATTCATGTTAGACACCACAGAATAAATTTTATCAAGATTTTTACAGGTAAATATTCTCTCTGCATTTGCTGATTTGAATGAACATCTCTTCTCTATTAAACATTCCACTTTCCACATTTACAATTGCTCAAATACTGCTTATATAAAGTTTTCAAGATTAATACATGTAATAATGCAAATGACAAGTTCAGTAACTCACCAATCCCACAATGCTAAGAGATCCCAGTCTGAGTCCTCTCCTAAGTATCCCTCTATTTAGACTGTTACTCCTACGATTATCATGCATCAGTTTACATTCTAATATTCTAAATCAAGCTTTGCAAAACAGGATAAAAAGAAAATAAGTTCATACAAAAACAGAAAGAAAGAAAAGGTACCTTTAATTTGGATCCATGTGGTATTAATGGGGATTTATTCTGCTTTGGTGGGATAATCAGCTCCCATTTCCCATAATCCAGCTTTTTATAAGGATATGAAAATGGATTCCAATCATCTAAAAATAAAGAATGTAGTTAATAATAGCAAAATAAGGACTAAAATTTAATGAATTTCAAGCAAAAAATACATACTACCTATTTACACAGAATCATATAATTCCTAAGATGTGATTCGAAGTATTTTCCCAGACACTTAGAAAATTTTAATGTTTTTTAAAAAAATACTTGAAAGTTTGTCTTTTGCATTATAAAATTTAAAAGCAACCTTTTCTATTGTACTTCCGACTCTAAAGCTTCCATCAGTAAACAGAAAAAGAAAATGAATCTTTTTTAAAAAACAACCATGAATAAAAAGAGATACTCTGAAAAGTAGAAATGATTCCAGTTGATTAGTTAAGAGGCATGTTATGATAGGAAAAATGATGACAAATATTTAAAATCATATTACATTTACCCAAATTCACAAGTGTGTGACAGAACGGAGAAAAAAAAATCTAAAAAGATTCCTCAAGCAAAAAAAGGTGGAAGTTATAAACTACAGGGGGCAAAGAAAGCAGCCTGCTGATTCTGGAAGAAAGCCAAACTGAACAGCTACCCATGTATACAGAAATTTAATATATAAGAGAAGAAGCATTAAAAGTCAGTGAGTAAAGGACATGCTGTTTAATAAGTTGTGCTGGAACACTGCTATCTTTATGGGGAAAATAAACCAAAAGGATCTGTACCTAATTATGTGCCCAGGAATCATCCGAACATGGATCAATTATTCTTTTTTTTTTTTAATTTTTATTGAGGTAACATTGATTTACAATGGATTTACAACAATGCTGCAAACATATGACTCAGGTATACAAGATCACACTTCTCCAGACGTATGTCACTACAGCACACTCACCCTCAACATGCCAGTGGTCCTTCACCATTAAATACAATAGGCAAAACTGTTAAATGCTTAGAAGGAAATGCATTATAAACCTGAATTTAAAAACTGTTTATTAAACAAGGTACAAATTCTCTGCAAAACTTTAAGGAAAAGCCTAAGATAATTAGCTACTAAAATTACAAACTCACTTTCATGAACAGATGGATAGACAGAATGACAAGAGAAACTACCTAGTAGGAGAATGCATTTGTAATGATTACACTAAGAAAAAGAAAGCATCCAGAATACATGAAGAATAGCTATAAGTCACTGAGAAGAAAAATGGAAAAGATATTCAGTAGAGTACATATAAATATCCAATAAAACATAAGTAATGGCATTCCAGCTTATTTGTAATTAAGATGAGAGACCTTTCATCCCCTTTAGATTAGCAAATACTAAAAGTTTGAAAAAAAATCAAGTAGCTAATCTGGGTATCAACTGGTAAAATAATTTGTTGCTGTATAGCAAAATCAAAGATACATTAATCCCAGGCCCAACAAATCAACTTGTAGATAACAGAAATTTTCACAAATGTGAACAAGAAAGCATCCATAAATGTTCAATGAAAAACTGTTTGCAACTGCAAAAACTGAGAGCTATCAAAATTTAAAAATCAGTCACAAAATGGGTAAATACACTGTGATATGATGAAATAAGTGTATGAAATGAATGGATTAAAGGATATAAGAATTTCTATAGAAATAGCCAACACATAAAAGTTAATTTTAAAGAGGTGAAGGATTTTGAATCAAATATTTAAAGAGGTGAAGGATTTCTGCTTATCATCAAATTATAGAAATATGCAAAACAATATTATATAGCACTTGATACATATGTATAAAGTAAAATATTTTTTTAATCTAAACAGCAAATTTTATGGTGATTTCCACTGAGTAGAGGAAAAGGAACACAGAAGTTGGAATAATACCTTCAATGTTGCAATATTTTAATTTCTGGTAGGTGGTGAACACAGAGATGCTTATTATGTTCTTCCCTATTTATTTTAAGCCAGTCGTGTGATGTTACATGAACTGGAACACTGTCCACATAATTTCTCAAAAGAAAAGGTAATAAAATCCCCAGGAAGCTGGCTATATGCCACAATTTCCTCCTTTATACACAATTTTGTTTACCTTATCAGCTCTAAGGATCTTTAATCTCACTTTTAATATTGGAAGCAGAATGGGGATAAGAAATAATATTTAAATAAAGGTCCTAAATATTTTCCTACTCCCTAACATAAAGACTACCTGAACATGTCTAAAGGTGTTTTTATCTTCAGGAGCAGCTCAACAAGCTCTGTATTATTACACTTGTCTACCTCTAAAGCCCCAACGATATTTCACCTATATATGCATTAACATTCCTTTAACCAAAGTAAAGAGTGTCTAATGGAGGGGAGACGTTTGAAATACAAGTAGGTAAGTACAACACCTTAAATATTTAGCAATTCTTTTAAGCAGTAACTTATGATAATTTAATAAACTTAAAAGATAAGCAACAAATCTTTTCCTGGTTAGTTAGATCTAAAAATAAAGGCTACAGTTCATTAGTTAATTCATTAATTTCATTAAATATGTGCTGAGAGCTTAATCGAGGCCTTGCTCAGTGCTAAACTCAAAATTCAGTGTTCAGACTGACAGACTATCTCATGAAGAAAAGGTCCTAATGAGTAGTTAAATGCAGGATAACCAGGGACACACTAAAAATTCAACTATAAATAATGTTTTTTAGCCTGAAAGTAAAATTTCATTGCATAGGAAATTTCCATATGCAGATTTCTTTTAAGCCAGTTTTCAGTTAAGTGAAAATGTGTTTTTGAATATTGGTTTTCAGCCTCTAGCCACTTGAGTTTTAAGATCTGCCTAAACAAGTACTGTATTAATATTTGTATGAAGAAAATACTGTCAATTATTAAAAAAAATTACAATATTTATTTATACATACAGAACTGGGGTACAGACCAAAGGTGCCGGGGTGGTGAGAGAATCACCAGAGGCAGATCAGGGAGCAGAACAGAAGATCGATGAAGCACACTGTTGAAGGGAGCATCAGGCAAGACAGGAGAGGTCTGCCACGCCATCTGGGTGGCCTCCCTGCCCAAGGATCAAACTCTCGGTGATGTGTCTGCAGGCAAGCTTCATGGTGGTACGGTTTAACTCGTTAAATCCTCCAACAAGGGGGGTCCGATTTTTTGTTTTTAAATAGAATTTTATTTAGACAAGCACAGAGGGCAAAATAATAAAATTTAAAAGACAAATTAGGGTAAAAGTAATGTCTTGAGAAGTAAGTCAATAGAGTTTATTCCTAAATAAAATTAAAAATAACCGTTCCAAGCCAAATCAGAATATATATAAAGAGCACAACTGGAAAATTTTTCATGTTAATCCTGAATAACCTACAGCCTGAGTATACAAGACACAATTGATTTTCATTAGTTTCATTAACACAAATAATTTGCATTCTTATGGAAACCTGGAGATAGGAAAAATGATCCCAATACCACCTGTCACAATTATTTCTTTCTCTATAGAAGCCCAGATCTACACATTGAGAGAGGCCTGCAGTTCAATGGGTCTGAATTTTAACTCTCATCAGAATTGCCTTGGTTTGTTAAAACAGATTGCTGTGTCCTACCCTCTGAGTTTTGGTTCAGAGGATTTGAAGTGTGGTTTAATTATCTGCATCACAAGTTTCCAGTAATGTTGATGGTACTGGCCTGAGGACCATATTTTAGAAACAACTGGCTGATCCAAGCTGGGTGTTCAGATATTCTCTACTCACAGTTTTGTCAGTGATTTTCTAGATAAATTTAGATTTATAGACTACATGTTCTAAATCACAGACCAAGGAAATTCTGAAGTGGAAACTATCACTAATAACCCTCAAGGCAAATATCACTCACATAAAAGGTACTATTTAAGATATGTGACTGACAGATTATAAAACCCAGAAAGATGGCCTGTATCAATAAAGATTATAGACATATCTGTGATATTGAGGAATTGAATGCATTAATAAGAAAAGGCAAAAAATAACAATTTCACCATAAAAGATAACATGCACTAAGTTCAACAGATGGTTACCAGTGTCTACAGGTAATGTATTCTATAATGTTCTCACTAAAAGTTCACTGTGTTAAAAATATGGACCACTGAGCACAAAATAAAAATTTGAAAGTTTTTATCTAACAAAGGTGGCATTAAGGTTATTTTGTGTGTGTGTTTTTTTTTTTTAAGATTTATTTATTCATACAGAACTGGGGTACAGGCCAGAGGTACAGGGTGGTGAGAAGATTCACCAGAGACAGAGTGGGAAGCAGAACAGGTAGATCAATACACTGCTGAGGGGAGCAGCAGGTGGGTCAGGAGAGGTCTGCCACGTCAAGTGGGTCACCTCCAGGGCCAGGGATTAAACTCATACTGGAGAGGCTTTAGCTTCTTAGTGCTGTGCTTTAACTGTCTGTGCCACCAGGGAGGGATCTTTTTTTTAAAGATTTATTTATTTACGCATACAGAGCTGGCGTACAAACCAGAGGTACAGGGGTGGTGAGAGGATTTACCCGGGACAGAGTGAGGAGTAGAACAGGCAGGTCCATGAGATACACTGCTGAGGGGAGCAGCAGGTGGGTCAGGAAGAGGTAAAGGGGCAGTGAGAGGATTCAACAGAGACAAAGTGGGGAGCAGAACAGGCAGAAAACCAGAGGTACAGGGGTGGTGAGAGGATTTACCCGGGACAGAGTGAGGAGTAGAACAGGCAGGTCCATGAGATACACTGCTGAGGGGAGCAGCAAACAAGACATGAGAGGTCTGCCAGGCTATGAGGATCACCTCTGGGACCAGGGTTCAAACTCACACCAAAGTGGCTGCAACTAGCTTGCTGTGCTGAACCCTAGGGCCACCACAGGTTCTAGCATTAAGGTTTTCAATGCTTACATAACTAATCATCTTTACTTTTCCTCATTTACTACCATAACCAAGACATTGATGACTTAAGAATTAGTTACCATCTCCCACAATAATGTATATTTACTATTCCAGTTTAGGTAATATTTTAAGAACATATTTTATTCTTGTAGAAATTATTTTGCTACTGCAATCCCTAAGACATTTGATGTTTTTTATCAAGTTG